AGGAAAGTACGGCGTAGAGAAGGAGAAGGTGGACAAAGCAGCACTGGGCTACGACTATAAAGGCGAGACGGATAAACATCAGTCTCAAAAAGGTGAAGGAAAAAGTTTCACAGTCTTTTTCCTTTAAAAAAATCTTTTACCCCGTTAGACTAAAAGAACATCCTTCTGTTTAGATTACTCCGCAGGTTTTGGCGGTCGCTATGGAGTACAGACAGATCGAATGGATAAGGTTGGTGAGATTTAATCTGTTCATCTAAGGTAAAAAAAGATAGAAGATTAAAAAATAAACAGAAAGCTGTTTTTTTTTACTCGGCTAGATAAAACGATGATGTCATGGCATTGCATGCTTCTGATTGGTTAACTCAAATGAATGCTCTCCTGTTGGTGGATTTTTAATCCAACACTTCAAAAATGCCGCCTTGCTTTTTGAACCCGCAAAGATAATCTCCAAAAAAAAGCTGGTTTTACTGGTTCTAGATGCATCCAAATCCCATATCATAATGCTGCCACCACCATGCCAGACAGATATTTATGGTCTTTGAATAAATTAAATTATTTAATCTTAATTCAAAACAAATTTTAGAACTTTACTTTAGAAAATAAAGCTCAGATATATTGATTTGAGTGAAATATTTCTCATAATTTTAATGAATATTAGTTACAAATCAATTTCAATCAAATATTTAAGACCAAATTCTTTAAAAAATGTCTTCTTTTTAAAATTATGATCCTTTTAGAGCGCAGCTGGTTTCTCAGACATGGACTCCCCAACATCTGCCTATGAAAAGACTCAACCATTGGAGGCCTGTAGGTTCACCCATCCTGCTTGTTTTATAAAAGCAGAGCAGTTTTTATAGATGTTCTGTTTAATTAAATGTGTTATTTCTGAAGCGAGCGCGGGCGCCGGGAAACTGAAAGCTCGCTTTGAGAGCATGGCCAAGGCTTCAGATGAGGAAAATCAGAAGAAAGTAGAAGAGGAGAGAGCGAGAAGACAAGCCAGAGAGAGCAGAGAACGAGAGGAAGCCAAACGCAGACAGCAGGTTTGATGAGGATCTGCATCCGGCTGACAGGAGCTCTCAGAATCAAAGTCAGGGATTTAATTTCCTTGGTTTGTTCCTTTTAGGAGGAGGAGAGTAGAAAAGAGGAATTCCATCCTCCACCTGCTCAGGAGGAACCAGAGTATGACATGCCTTCTGCAGAAACCCACCAGAACTCGCCAGAGATTGAAGAAATACCAGAACCAGAGGTGAGCTTCACATTTACCAAATTTCACTTATGAGACGGTTGAAGGACTAACTTCTGCTTGTGAATCCAGCCGGAAGAATTGTTCGAGGCGCCTCCTGAATTGCCTCCACGCTCAGACGATCTCTACGAGCCGGAGGAGCCCCCTCTACCGCCGCGGCCTGCGTGTGTGGAGGAAGAGGAGGACGGCGGGGAGTACTCTGAGCTTGCCGAACCGCCGCTTCCTGAGCCAACAGGTCTGCCTCTGATCAAAGCTCTGCTGGAAGTTCTCCTCTTTCAAAAAGGTCATTTTTATCATGAAAACATCATTTCTGCTCACAGAAGCGAGTGGAGTCTACGAGGACATAACGGCCGGCCAGAGGGCAGTTGCAATTTATGATTATGAAGGAGGTAAATTCCCCTCGATTCCCTTTACTTCACATCCCTCAGCCTGCAGCTTTATAACCACATAGAAACACAGGGTAAAAATATATAAGAGTATCGTAGGCAGGATCTCATCTAATTTAAGCGTTTTACAAACATAAAGATGTGAACTGTGGGCATTTAGCTGCATGTTAGCCACTTTTCATATTCAGCCTCCCTTCATCACTTAAAGTGGTCGGTTTTCTGCCCCGATCCAGAAAGGTTCTGGTATTTGAAGATTAAATCCTTTAGAGAAGGAAGAACTTCAGACAAACCAGAATCAGTTTGGATATTTTTTGGAAACGTTCTGTTGGAACTCCCAGAAATGTCTGCCTTGCTGGTCAGGACTGAGAATTCCTGCTATTTCATCTTTGGTGTTTAAACAGCCCCACAGCACGATGCTACCCTCACCATGCTTTATAGTAATGCTGCCATCTTGAAACATACCAGGTCATTCCTGGACTTCCAGCTAGGTTTTTTGATCAGCCTAGCGCAGTGGTGTCCAAAGCGCCGTCTGAGGGCCATTTGCAGCATCAGGATGATTTTATGTGGCCCTCAACTGCATTTCAAGAGTAGTATATTATTGCTTTCCAAACTTGACATATAAGAGAGAATTCTAGTATGATTTATTAAATTAGGCTGCATAAAACAATAGATTCTTTAATGAAAATATACTCAGAAAAATCCCAACCAATGCGGTTTACCTGAAAACTTCACATGGTGCTTTTATTTTTTAACCAGGAAAACCTGAGACCTTCTTTCTACAATGACTTTAAGATCATTTCTACAGAAATTGCTTGTTTCAGTGACGGCTCAGTTTACATTATTGTTTAGCAGATACAAATGAAAACAATTTGCAACGTCAGCCGAAATTAAATCTATTTTTTTTGGCCCCCAAAGTAGTTTTACTTCATGTTTAGACATCGCAAACTGTTTGCCAACTTCTGAAACGAGTTCCAAAGGAGAGAGACATCTGAACATCTGCAGATTTTAGACTATAAAGTTGTTCAGAAATGCGTCCATATTGCTTTTCCAGGGAGATCCTTCTTGTTATCCTACTACTACTAATAAAATGACTTTTAGAATAAATAAGCCAATGCCCAATGTTCAATCTTTTCACACAGAGGCGGACGACGAGATCTCCTTCAATCCAGATGATGTCATCACCAACATAGAGATGATCGATGAGGGCTGGTGGAAGGGCCATTGCCACGGACGCACCGGCCTGTTCCCCGCTGCTTACGTCCAGCTCATTTAGACAGTTTTGCACACGCTTCCCTTTAAAAATCCAAAATTTATTCAACTGTAACTTCTGCAGATTTCTATTTATACAACAAAGCATTTTCCCCTAATCTATCCAAAACTTTGTGCTTTTTACTGAATCTGAAGGGAGAAAAACTTCAATTAAAGACAATAGAGAATTTCTTGAATTATTTATTTCTTGACACACTTTTGCTTTTTAGACAAAATATCAAACTTTAAGACATTTTCTATACCTAAAGGGTCCAAATGAACCATTTCTATTCATGTAATTTATTTGAACAGAAAAGGCCACAGGTGAGTCTGTTGACAGGAGCTGATGTCCCATGAGAAACAAAATAGATCAGGCTGTTCTGAGCCTTCATGATGAGTCTGCCAGGGCAGAAAGTTTAGATCCACAGTCTTAGGAAGAAAAAAAAAAACGCCTCGGTTTGCTTTACCAGGCGATTCCCTTCTTCTTCTTGACCTTGCCCGTTTTCTTTGTCACCCGTTTAGCTTTCATTTTTTTGGCCTGTCGCTGGTTCATCCATGTGGGGTACTGTCCATTCTCGTCCAGGAGAGTTTTCTTGTTGCGCTTCTTGTCCATGTCCATCTTCCCGCCTGGAGGAAAACAAAAGTCAATAGGATTTATACAACTATCCTTAAAAAGAACCAATCAAATAAACTAAAACACTTTATAACGAGTGTCTGAAGGGGGAAGAGATAGAGCTGGACTTATATTTTGGGTCCCTAGTTTTGTGCATCTCCTTATTAAAGTTAGTAAAATAAAAAATAAACTGAAGTTTGTAGACTATTCTCTAAATTGGCTTCATCTCCAACATGCAAAAGATCACGATCTCTGACTGTCCAGGTATCCAATGTGTTTTATCTTAACCTTAAATTCAAAGTATCACTCCCACTCACCACCCTCCTCCTCCTGTACTGCCATTTCAACGTCCGTCTGCTTCGTTATCTTGTCGGCCGGCACCACCGTGGCGATGTCCTGCAGGTCGCTCATATCTGCCTCTCCTTTCTTATCCAAACTCAGAGCCTGTTTGAGTCGAGCCAGCTCCTTGGGGGCATTTTTCTTCCTCTTCTCAGCCCGCATTTTTCGCTTCCATTTGCTCCGAAGACTTTTGGCCATTTTTAAAGACGAGCTGAAAAGCCACACACAAACAAAAAAAGAGAATTAGTAACACATTTAGCTGTTGTGATCGTATCGGTTGCAATAGTGAATTATTTCTTCACTTTTTGCCATCTGTTTTAATTGTTTACTAGTTTGCTTCTAGTTTTTTTTTTTTTGTGGAAAAATTGAGTGCTCCAGCTAGGAGAAAACAGTTAATAATGAATGCATGATAAAAATTATTTAGGTGAAAAAAGAAAAAAGTGGAATAAATAATTACAAGCCTATTGCAAGGGAAATGCTAAAAAAGCATTTCAATTCAAGGTTATTTCCATCTTAGGATGTAAAGCACACTTGGCAAGCTATTTCTTAATATACATGTAAAAAATATTTGTTTTAAAACATTTTAAAATGTTTTTTATATCAATATTGTTTTGGATGTTAGAGTAGAGACACAGATATGTTGCTACACTGATTTCCAGAGCAACTGATCTATAATTGCAACAACATTGATATCACAAAGAGATATTATAAATATGACACGTTGCTCAATGTTAGTTTACCTTTCACCAATTTACACAAAAACATAAAATAAAGCAAACTTCCTGTTTCAAAAAGCACATTTTATTCATTGTGTGCTGCTTGTATGGAAAGATGAATTACCTCTTTAACAATAAAGAAATCTACAAGGTATCAAAGGTAAATAAAAGTGTCTGAACCTAGCCTAGCTAGCTAACTGCTAATGTAACGTTAGCTAAGGGGCTAATTAATAAAAATGAGATAAATTCAGCCTCACAGCTTCACTAAATAACTCTGGATAGTTATGCGTCAGTAGCAGGAGGTAAATAAAAGCCATACTTACAGCTAGAAGAGAAATTAAAGTCCAAATGTTAATCCTGAAACCGGCACACGCTGCTCCGTTCACGTGCGGACACCGCGGAAAGAAGCTCGAACCGGATTGGTTGTGCGAGACCGGCTGAAGACGGCGGCTCTCGATTGGCCTAAATCCCGGAACTTCCGTTCATTTGCGTGAGTAAACAAACGGAAGCGAATGCTGAGCGTAATTCCTCTCATATTTACATGTGGAGCCGTGAGTTTCGGTTCAATCACATGAAAGTAAATTATTATCGATATTCTGTTCTTGATATACGTTAGTTGTGGAGATATGAACCGCCTCTATGACAGCCAGGCTCGGTCGGGTCGCAGCCCTCCTCCTCTGTCTGGTTCATCGCAGCTCTGTCAGACGTTGGACTCCGCTGCAGAGCTCATGATGGTCCATGGAGATTTCCAGACGGCTTTTGACACCTGCGACGCGGGTCTGGAGAGTATGGGGCAGCTGGAAGCAGAAGATAACAGGTAGGGAGGACTCATGGGCGGAGCTAGATGGGGGGCCAGGGGTGGCCATGGCCACCCTTAGCCAATCATTGGCCACCCCTACCATTTATTTCCCTTTGTATACTCTCAAGTGGAATATTCAAAAATTTTTATTTTTTTGTGGTTAATTATACACATCAATATACTAACATCAAAGATGATAAATATAGAATTCCTGCTCTTTTCAGAAATAGATTTTGTGTTATATGGGGTAAAGAGAAAATTATGTGTCTCTGCAAGTCATCTTCTGGTCTTCAGTGAAATCAAAGATAAATAACAATTTTAATTAAAAATGATCAAATAATCAATTTATGTAGATATTAGTGCTTGTAAATATCAATTTTATGCAGAATTTTTGTTGATACAAGTAGGTAAGTAATGACAATGATGATTAATTTACCAGAACTCAAAACTGAGTTTTATTCACTATATCTTTTATCTAGAAATTACAGATTTTGAAATATATGCATTTATTTGTTAGCAAAGGCTGTAGGAAAGTATAGTTTGTCTTTATTTAGAAAATATGGATGTTTTGCCCGTTCATTTTTCCTGTTGGAACAGAGTAGATTGACCCTGAGGTTCTGGTGCCAATCCACTTTCGGCCCCCCTCAGTCTAAAGTGGTTATTGGCTGGCCACCCTTATAAGAACTCTCTGGCTGCGCCTCTGGGTGGTCATTTCCCAGCTGTTCCAGGATTAGATTAGATTAGATCTTCTTTAATTACTATGCCAATATGTGACCAGTGAATTTCTCCGCTGTGAGATGAATAAAGCTAATCTAATCTAATCTAGCTGTTTCAGGATGCCTGACGATCAGTTTTAAATATTGTTTGTTTTATTGTCAGGTGTGCAGAGTTAAAGGCTGGATTCTGCATGATAGGGATCCAGGCGCTGGCTGAGCTCAATCGGTGGCGGGAGGTTTTCTCCTGGGTCATGCAGCATTATGAGCACCAGGAACATGTTCCTGCTAAGATCATGCAGCTGTGGTGAGAAATCATTTGGTTGTGAACAGGAAAGAAATGTTTAATATTTAATTTCATCGTTTGATAAAGTCGTAGTGCATGTTATTCTTTACAAAATTTTTATTCTGACAGATTCTCCTGCTTAAAGTGAAGCAAAATGTATTTTATTGTAACTTAAAATGTAAAAAACTAAAAGGAAATCTGTTTAAAGAAATGTCAAAACCTTGGTCAACACCATCAAGATGTTTATTATTTTGGTTTTATGCAAATGCTACCCATCCATGTCTGTTTTTAGGAGATACCATGTTTAAATCTGTTGCAATACCTCCCATAAATCCACAGGTAGTGATGGATTGTTGAAGCATCTTGAAGCTTTTGGACACTTTGCCAAACTGTATAGATACTGTCTGATAGAATACTGACACCTGCTGGACATTTAAAGACACTGCAGAAAGCTTATTTGACAGACTAAATATGATTTAAGTTATAGTAGGTTATATTGTATTATTTCATATCTATGTTTAAATTGAAGATATATTTGATATTTTTTTTGTTGCAGCCAATAAATTATGTAAACAAATATAATAACGTGAAAATTTATGGGGAAAATGTGAATGAGGATGCTTGTGGACTAGGATTTTAAATCATATTTTTAAAGCAATAAGTTCAGTAAAAACAGTAAATAAACTAAGAGTCAATCTGAAATTAACTTTAATTCAGATAAATTGAGTGATAAATGAGAGGAAAAAGATGACGCAACAAGAAAATTAAAATAGAAACGCAACGGCTGAAACGTTCCTATTCCTTTTAGGCTCCAAAATTCTTGATAATTTTAATGATAATCCACCAAAGATGAGACATTTTTTCTTTAGCAGATGCATCATGTTGACAGATATGTTTTTAAACCCAGTTTAGTGTGTCAGTCAGCTAGAAACAACTCCTGCATCGGTCACATGACTTTCTTGAAACGGCACGCTCATCGATACAGTGTTTAGCTCTATGGGCTTGAGGCATCGGTGTTGCTGGACCCATCACTACTGACAGGTTTTACAAATGGGATAAAAAAGTGAGAAATTAGGTGAAAATGAGATTTCAAATACATTTGGTGTGAATAAAGAAGATGAAGTGGGGGAAAAAAGCTACAGCTTTTCTAAAATAAGATGCTTTCCCTATTTATTTGTAATAACCAAATTGTTTTTTTGTTTTTCTTTTACCAGCATCCTTCTTCACTCAAAAGTGGGGGCGCCTGCTGTGATGCAAGAGGCCTCCCGGGTTTGGTTAAACTGCCCGTCAAACGTCGGAGCCTCTGGGTTCCGGTCTGTGGCAGAGCTCTATCTGCTGCATGTGCTCGTGCCTCTCGGACACTTGGAGGAAGCGCGGGAGCTCGTCGCCAGCGAGGTTGGCTGTGTCGCGTTCACAGAGGAGCAGAGACAAACTGCTTTGGATGTTGTGGAGGAAAAAGCCAGACAGAGTCAAGAAGATCCTAAAAATCCTGGAGATGCTTTAGATGCTAAGATCGCAGCACATCCGGCCTCAACTCAAGGTGTTTTAAAATTTCCACCTTTTATGCATCATAAAAACTTACATTAATAGAAATAACAGCAAGTGATCCTACTGAGTGTGTTATTTTTATTTTTAGGTTCTTTACTCCATAAACTTGAAGCCATGCTCAGGGTTTTATACAGAAGTTGCTTGAGGATCGGCTCTTACTCTTTCCCCGTTCAGAAAGTCGTTCTTGCTTTTCTTCTCCTCTACATGCTTTTGTTCCGAATGGATCCAGGTTGGAGGAAAAATTCCTTCTCTGCAAGTTTGAATGGAATATGTTTGATTGAAAATAAATCATTTCCTGTTTTTGTTCCTTCTCCACAGCCCTCCCATCATCCTTCATGTGGATTTCCAAACTTCTTCAGCTGATTAAACAGATGTGGAGCGCCATGTTAGCACCACATTATCAGCCTCTCACGTAGAGGAGCAAAATAAATCACAACATCATTACATATTTATTGAACAGTTTATTAATCTATTTTACTACATTGATTGAAGAAGACAGGTTTTTAGAGTATTAATTCAGTTTTTGCTGTCAAGTTTATTTCTGTAAATAAAACACTTATTGCTGCTGAATTTTACAGTGAAGTTTGGTTGGGTTTCTGTGCTGTGAAAAGATGCGATGATCCCCGGCTGCTTCAGGGATGATATGGATTTGTCTAATCGGTGAAATCATGAATTCTACTCTTCCCAAAAACACACTGGGCTTATATGGAGCCGTACGATGACCCAAAGCACATCCTTAAATGTACAATTAAATGATCTGGGTAAGAGTGCAGACCAAATCGAGGTATATCAAACTCTTTAATGTGGCTGAAGGTAGGTTTTGCTTGCTGTTCTTCCTTAAAATATTAAATCAAAAATGTCCAAACTGAGCCCTGGGGCTCTTTGAATTGCTCTGCATCTAGGCCAAAAAAAAAAAAAAAACTTGCATACATGTTCAATTGTTAACAATATTGTTTTTATTTCAAGTAGTTTGCATTTAAATAAGAATAAGAACATTCATTCAGAATTATATTTGTATGCCTCCTTCTAAAGCAGGAGCATTTAAAGAAAGGGGCCCAGATCAGTGCATGTAGTTGGTTTAATTTGCCAATAGGAACCACAAAGACCTAAGACTTAAATTCAGCAACAAATGCAGATAAGTTTGGAAAAGGATCGCCAGGTACGCAGGTCCCTTTGAAGCAAACAATGAAAGAATGGAGAATATCAGATTTATACGGAACAGGATTAGGGCCGCTGAAAAAAAAAAGTTAACTGCTTTGTAAATACTTTAGTTTAATATGGGGAAAAAAGTCTGAATTGTGACAGCGAACAAACATGGTAGCATCAAGCCGTAGCCATGTCTTTTTTAGGGACTAAACTAGCTCTCTTGTTTTAATCACCCTCTGCTTTTCCATTTATGAAATAGCATCACTGGGGGCCCCTCAGGCATGTAAGAAGTCACCTAATTCCTTCATTTTCCCAAACAACTCACATCTATGTCAGGGAAGCTGAGTGCTCCCACATCTCTTCCTTCATGGTGCCAATCTACATTAAGTTCCAAAATTTAGAGATTAAAGTCATAATTCAGAGAAAAAAGTCATAATTCTGAGATTAAAGTCATAATTCAGATAAAAAAGGTTATAATTCAGAGATTAAAGTCATTATTTAGAGATTTAAGTCATAATTTAGAGATTAAAATCATAATTCTGAGATTTAAGTCATAATTCACATAAAAAAGGTTATAATTCAGAGATTAAAGTCATAATTCACATAAAAAAGGTTATAATTCAGAGATTAAAGTCATAATTCTGAGATTAAAGTCATAATTCAGAAATTAAAGTCATAATTCAGAGAAAAACAAATCATAATTCAGAGATTAAAGTCAATTCAGAGAAAAAAGTCAGAATTCTAAGAAAAAACTCATAATTCTGAGATTAAAGTTAGAATTCTGACTTTTCTCTGACTTATTTTTTATATTTTCAATGGGCCTAATCCTCTTCCATAGAATCAGTTTATTAATCCCTTTGCGGGAAATAGTTTTCTGGCAGGGCAACTGTGCACACAAGATAGAAAAAAGAAAAAAACAGATTATAGAGCAAAATAAAATAAATTGTAAGACATAATGACATATTTAAAACGAAACCCTTCCCATATAAACAATGTTAAATAAGATACAGGAATAAAATAAGGATAAAAAAAAGGATCTCAGTTTAAATGAAACTTTATTTATAAAGCATTTGCGAACAAAAACAGTAAAAAAAATAAAAAGAAATAAAACATGCCAGTTTTTAAGTATTAATTATCAAACTAAAGATGTAAAACAAAGTCTAAAACCGGCCGTTTATGAAGTAGGACATCAAACGGGCCGCTGGTCATAATGTTTTGCAGGTTTTTAAGTTTCGTTTTCAGTGAAGCGAAGAAAAACGAAAGAGAAGCAGCTGATGCTGAAACACAACAGCTGATCAGGAGAAACACCGGAGCTGCTGTTCGGATCCTCCAACCGAACTTCGGGTCCAGTAGTCCGGTCCGATGTCTCGCTTGTTTTGTCGGTCCTTCCCATCACTGTCCCTTTTTCTGGATCACAGGCAGCTCGGTGAGTAAAGAAAACTGATTATACTTTAAAATGTTGCAGACAAGCAGGGAACCAGGAGAAAAACTTTGCATTTTTTAATCAGCATTTGATCATTTTTGTCTCTAAACCTACTTTAATCTGTATATCGATGAAAATAAAATGAAATATCTTCTGCTTATTAATTAGTCCGGTTGTGAAAAAGTATGTTTTGTTATTTAAATGGTTTTAATGCTTAGTGACTTGGATGCTCAATAAATTGAATTTCGGACTTTGACTAGTCCATCTAAAAAAAAACAACAACATTTTTATTAAATCTTTCAAGTTGACATCTAAGGACCCATCCTTCCCTCTTTTCTTCTCCACTTTCCTTTTTTTTGTCTCCTATTCTACCCATCTCCCTCCTTTCTTTGAGATCTATCATTCCGTTCTTCATTTTAATTAAAAGGTTCATTTGTAACCTCCTGCATTAATCAGCAATACAATATATTATCATATAAAGGAGTGTCTAGATCAGCTGGCTGTCCTCACAGACATGTTTAACACCTCTAGTGCCAGCATGCTTTAAAGTCGTAGGGAAATCATATTTAAATGTCAAATCATTCTGGCTTAAACAGTATATAAATGCACTCTTTATCAGATGATATTATCCCAAATGTAGAAAATTTCTACATTTTCTACTCCTAACATCTGTGGGGTTTTTTTCTGTTATCTTCTGCAGGCCAGTTAGTTCTACATTAGCCTGAACACCTAAATTCAGCCAATCATATATCAACGGTCATCTGTCAATAAAAAATTTTCAGTCATAGCATCTTGATTCATATGTCGCAGCTAATATACTCAACGGTTGAAACCAGAATCCTTTCCTTTCCCATTGAGTTGCGTCCCAGTGTTCACGGGGATGGACGTCTGTGTCTTCGGCAGGCGTAGAGCTAACAGAACTGGCAGCGTAGCGAGGCAAGGGCTCAAACATGTACGGCTGGAAGCCTTCTACACCAAACCAAGCTTCTGCCGCCCTGGCGTCCTCTTCCACAACATCTTCGTCCCCGCTTTCCTCCTCTAAATAAAAAAATGGATGACGGAGGAGACTCATCCACGACCTCCGACCCTAAACTCTCCTCCTCTTCCATGTTTCCTCTGTCCATAGCGTTCCTTGACAGCGTAGTTTCTAAGTCACCAATTTAGTGCTACTTGGTCGCAATGGAATTTCCCATTGGGAACCTGCTAGCACTAAGATGCTAACTGGTTAGCAAGATGCTTCCGACAAACCGGCCACAACCAAACTTGTTTACGCACCTTCTGCCACAACAATCCCGCCCCCTTGATAAACGACCAATCACATTCACTTTATTCACTCGTGTAAAGTCGTGCACCACTCGGGAGAATTCGGGAATGCGACGGTTGGAACAGCCGCTTCCCTACGACTTTGAGTCTGCTTCTATCATTCCGGTCCCAAAGACGCCTCAGGTCTTTAATAGCCCCATTTACACAACCCTTTTGATCGGTCATGGCACGGTAACCAAGACAACTGTTGTGTGTAAATGGCATTCAAAACTGAATCGACCGTGCCAGACACAACTGAACCACGCTAACATGGTAATAAAGATAATAAAGAGCGCATGAGCAGACTGCGTCATCTCCGTACAGTCAGCCTCCGTAATCATGAAATTTCAGACATTCGTAAAAATCCTAGCTTCCCTAGCGTGCCACACGATTTCCAGCAGTGTGATGAACCTCAACATCCGTCGTTGTTCCCTGCATCTGTAAGCCCTGATTAGACTATCGTTTGTCGTATCCACTTCCCAAAGCTGGCTCCGTCAAGCAAATTCGCAAACAACGAAATGTCACTATTATAACCATCAAGTTTGAAGACATTTCTCTTCCCATCCAGGAAGCTTTTTCAGTTCAAAATGTCAGAATTATGAGTTTGAAGTTTTATATAGTAGCCCAAAAACCTGTTTTAGCTTAAAAAACATGCAAATTGAACCAGATTTATAGGTGAACCCCTTAGGGAGTCTTTGGGTTCTTTGTTAGCCTGCAATACCCCATACTGGTCTATGCCTCTCAAAGGGGGGTCATTAGGGGCTAATTCTGACATTTTGAATTGAAAAAGCTTCCTGGATGGGAAGAGAAACATCTTTAAACTTGGAAACAAAATCCAGCGGATAGTTTTTTGGAACTACACCGTTTACATTCCGATCCCTGCTGAACATTACATATTAATGGTGACGTTCATTTCACTGTTGTGAAGCTGTATGCATTGATGATAAAGTTTATTATTGTCTATATTTGGAAGTAAAGCTAAAAAACTCTTTAGTCCGACTGTTACAGTGACAAAAAACAAAAGAAATTCAAACAGGAGGAAACTATCTTGTTGGAAAAACACTTTTATTATTGTAGATTATTTAGTAAATTTCCATTCGGACGAAATACTATGAAATCATTAAAACACGAAAGTTTGTTTTTGTTCTCTGTCAGCAATGAGAGGCCTCAGCAACTACTGCCTGTCCTGCTGTGTGAACACTCTGCTACAGACCCTGAATGCTACCTGGGAACTAGCAGAGATCTTAGAAAAGTAAGTCAATTAAATGACCTATAAAGCACAAATAAAAATGGAAAATGTGATATAAGTGATAACTTATGTAATGAGGGGCTCTAGCGCTCCCATGTCTTGCTGCCCTGGGCAAAACTCTTTAGGCCATGTCAGAAATCATCTCTGAATGTTATTTTTTTATATTTTTAAAAGTTAAAATGTTTTATTTTTCTTTAAGGTGGAACCCAGATGGTTTGAGATGCCCAGATGGTCATAATGTCCCCCTCCAGCTGAAGAAAGTTCTCAAAGCCATGCAGGAAGATCTTCCTCAGCCGGCTCCACATGAAGGTTTCCTCCACTGCTTGGACAGAAACCACATTCGACGTAAGAATCGTATCTTCTCACAGCAGAAGTTTCACTCTGATGTCGTTTAAATAGCTGTTTTTCTTTTTGTAGTGAAAACGCAGCACGACGCAGACGAGGTTTTCCTCTCCATTCTGGATTTGATGCAGCGGCACATGGATAACAAAGCTGTGGTTTGGATTTGTTTATATTATTCATCATTACGTACATCCTCCATACTGGATTAAATTTGTTCTCTCTTCTAGGCTCTTGAAATTCAGAGTCTCTATAAGATCTCAGTGGAGACACACCTGCAGTGTTTGGAGTGCAACACCATCCAGACTCGAAACAGTCACCTGCTCAGCCTGCCGTTACACATAAAGGAGGAACAAAACACTCTGGTGGGATTTCATCTCTTGCTCATTTCAATTATTTACAAAACAGGCTCCTGCTCTGACTCTGAGCCTTTTTTTTTTTTAGGAAGACTGCATGAACTCTTTCTTCGAGCAGCAGGAGCTGAGAGGCATTGATTGCTGTCTTTGTGAAGCATGTGGAACCAAGAAGCCATGCAGACAGGTCAGGATTTTAGTGTTGAAGAAAAGTGCTCACCTCATCAGCACAGGCATGAGAGACTTAGGCGACGTTCACACTGCAGCCTGATGTGACCCAAATCTGATTTTTTTGGCCCATTTGCGACCTGGATCTGATCTTTTCATGGCAGTCTGAACAACTCAGATCGGATTTTTTCCAATGCGACCCAGACCACTTGGGTATGTGCTCCTGATTCCGATACGAATCTGATCTTTTCAAAAGTGACCTGTGTGTCTGAACTGCCAGGTCGCATTCATCTGAAACAGAGGAGATCACATACAAGTCGCATATAAAAAAAAAAAAAAAAAATCGAATTTCACAAAAAAATCGGAATGCAATGTGAACGTAGCCTTAGATCCTTTAAAGTGGGGTTCTGTGGACTAACAATTAGTTATCCGTGTTTTATCTTTCCTCAATCAAACAGTCACAATATTTTGTTTCACAAAAACTAAAAATTGTTAATCAAAATAAAGAGTTAATCAAGGAAATAAGAGCTAAAATCATTATAAATATCCCTTTAAAGACCATAAGAAACGTCTTAAGAACCAAAATGTTAATTGAATGATTTATAAAAAGATTATTCTGTTGAGTATTTTTCTTCTAGTTTTCTAATTTTCTGGTAAGTTAAGTTTTTCCTCTCAGATATTATCAAAGACTTTTATTTGACCAATATTGCATCTTTTCATTTAATAGATCGATCTAAAAATTAATCAATCAATTCTTTATTGTCAACTACAACTTGCATTGTAATTGAGATTTCAGTTTCAGTATAAACCGTTCATCATATACATTGGCAGGGGAACGATTTACTGAGACCATGCATGCTGCAGAACGCTAGCCTCGTGAGACCATCCTGATCTCGCGAGCTTTCAAGATTTCACTCGCTAATCAGTCTGGAGACTCTCCGTTGAAGAAAATTTGGAGCCGTTCACCAAACGAACGTCCAATCAGCGTTGGCTTTGATGCGGGTTGAGGTGTGACGCAACGAGAAGCGCGACAGTTCAGTCTAAAGAACATGGTGGCTTCAGCCGATGAAACTAGCGTTAGCGTGGCTATCGAGCAAGTTTTATCGGAATTACAGAGTATTTCTTCAGTGAAAGAAGAGCAAAACACTGGAGGCTTTTCTTAGAGGAAAAGATGTTTTTGCTCTTCTCCCGACTGGTTTCAGCAAGACTAGTCTGGCTTGTGGTTGTGTTTTCGTCGTCGCTCTGTTAGTACGTCATATGCTTCGTTGATCTGATTGGTTTATTTGGCCCGTCTATCACCAACATAGGCCAATCAGCTAGCCAGTATTTTCACCCCTTCCCAAAATTACTTCAACGGAAGGTTTCCAGATGGATATGCAGAGCAAATCCATCTGGCAGAGTCAGGTTAGCAGAATGCTGCCTTTGGCGCATTCTTATGGCTGCCAAAGGCCCCACCATGAGGCGGTTCCCTATAGCGCTTCCTTTATCTCTGTGGAAAGATAGGAGCCACATTGGGGAGGGAGAGGGGGAAAAAAGCATATTTTTTACACTTTATCCTTGACATGGTACAGTTTGAGATATCAAAAAACCCTCAGCATGAGAAGGGACATGTAACACGAGACAAACATTTCAGCAGAAGGAAAACATCGGAGGCTGGAGCCACATGAAAGTCAATCTGATACTCTCTGTGATCCATCTTAATGTCTGATCCAAGCAAAGTAAAGTTTGCCTCTACATCTGTTTTTTTCAGGGTGTTAAGATTCGCTCTCTGCCACAAATCCTGGGCATACAACTAAAGCGTTTTCGGAACAAAGATGGAAGAACTGTGAAGCTCAACTGTAGAGTCACTTTCCCTGAAACCTTTGACATTTCTGCGATTCAGAAGGAAGCTTTCTCTAAGGACTTTACTCAGGTTGGTTTGTTTCTTGCAGAGTATCTGGATATTGTGATGTTGTTTTTTTTTTTCCATTATTAAAAAGTTTATTTTCTTGTAGACTGACTGCAGGTACACTTTGTATGCTGTGGTTGTTCACTCTGGCTATGCGATGTTTGGACACTACACCGCTTTTGTCCGAGAAAAGAGAAGGAAGTGTTGGGTCTATGCAGATGACAGCCATGTTTCCAAGGTATGTCTAAATTTTTCTAATTTTATCCATCCATCCGTTTTCAGACATGCTAAATCCCAAGTGGTCTGATCCATCAGGGTGAGTCTTTGCAGCTGCAGACCACTGATCCATTAGGGTGAGTCTTTGCAGCTGCAGACCACTGATCCATTAGGGTGACTCTTTGCAGCTGCAGACCCCTGATCCATCAGGGTGAGTTTTTGCAGCTGCAGACCCCTGATCCATCAGGGTGAGTCTTTGCAGCTGCAGACCCCTGATCCATCAGGGTGAGTCTTTGCAGCTGCAGACCACTGGTCCATTAGGGTGAGTCTTTGCAGCTGCAGACCCCTGATCCATCAGGGTGAGTTTTTGCAGCTGCAGAGCCCTGATCCATCAGGGTGAGTCTTTGCAGCTGCAGACCCCTGATCCATCAGGGTGAGTCTTTGCAGCTGCAGACCCCTGATCCATCATGGTGAGTCTTTGCAGCTGCAGACCACTGATCCATTAGGGTGAGTCTTTGCAGCTGCAGACCCCTGATCCATCAGGGTGAGTTTTTGCAGCTGCAGAGCCCTGATCCATCAGGGTGAGTCTTTGCAGCTGCAGACCCCTGATCCATCAGGGTGAGTCTTTGCAGCTGCAGACCCCTGATCCATCAGGGTGAGTCTTTGCAGCTGCAGAGCCCTGATCCATCAGGGCGAGTCTTTGCAGCTGCAGAGCCCTGATCCATCATGGTGAGTCTTAGTAGCTGCAGACCCCTGGTCTGTCATGATGAGTCTTTGCAGCTGCAGACCTCTGATCCATCATGGTGATCTTATCTTAATATGTCTGAAGCTAAAACCGCAAATCCTCTCATTTTAAATCAATGTTAAAGTAAAGCTGTTAGAGTATAAAATTGTTCCAAATAACCAATCAGTTATGGTTTCTGTGCCAGCGTATATCATCATAAGAAATTGATTTAGTATTATAACTTCACCGCACGGGACACAACAGGGGCCAGGACAAATCTACAGAGCCATGGGCCCTTGAGAGCCCCCATCTAGAATCACCCATGCCTTTTAATATACTGAAAAAAAAACATTAAAACGCAGTATCTGTTATTCCAAACTGTAAATAAAAAAATAAAACACTTATTTTATTTCACTATCTGTAAAATGACTTTAAACCAGCAAACATCTAACGTTAGAATAAACTGTGTGAAGGTTGATCATGATATGGGCTATTGAACAAACAGTATTTTATAATGTCATTTTATGGGTTTTAACGTATGTATTTTGGATCTTAGAGTCTGAAAACCTAAAAAATATTCTGCAGAGCATTTAGATTTCGTTGTAAATCTGTTATTAAATAAATCTGATCTTTTTGGAAACCCACAGTCCTCTTGGCAAGAAGTGCAGAAAACCTACCAAGAATCTTACAGGTAATTAAATCACAATATTTGGTTTGTATTATATAGACTTGTGTTAACAAATTGTAAATAAGTGCATATAATTCTGAATACGAAGTAAAGTTGTTTGATAACACAGCTTGATCATTACATCAGAGATTTAAAGCCATTTACTCTGTGCTTATACAAAACGCTTAAATGGAAACGTGTGTTTAGTTTTATTTAACAATTCACTTCCTTAATGGAAGCTAGTTAGCAAAACTTTTTATTAAAGTTTATAAATATTTCCATAAATGTTGGTGCTTTTGTCTACAGGCTGTTTAATCAGTTGTTTTATGCTGCAGTGCTAATTCTATCTTGAACACCTACCTATAACATTAGCTCAAATGGAACAGCTAAATCCAGGTATATTAATTTGGATACATTTGTTACATTCAGTTTTTTTTTATCTAAAAACTTATGGTTTTTTTTTTTTTTTTTTTTTTAAGGGCAATCTGGTGAAATCAGTATTAAGATAAAATAACTAAGTGCACTTAATCTTTAATCCAGAGAGCTTTGCTCAATTTTTCAGTCAATAATTTAAGTTTGTTTTCAACAAACTGCTCTCACCAAGATGCTGCATTTAAAGCTACCGCATGCTTTTAGAGTTTATATTCGGATCTAATGTTTTGCTTTAATCCTGATACCTTTAGTTTCACATCTGCAGACTAAATTTTCCAACAAAGCCTCTTTTACTTTCAGTCTAAAAGTCAGTACTTTACTATAGGATTTTTTTTTTATTATAAAAAATAGGCAAATCTGTAACGTTGGCTGGTTTTCATTTGATAGACCCGTATTTTAATTTAACGAACATTTTATAATCCCAGTGTGTTTTTTTTAATTTGTGCATTTTTTCAGAGGGACTGCATACATGCTCATGTACAGAAAAGATCCAACAGACGGAGGCCGACAGCAGGATCTCTCAGGCTGAAGGGATTCGAGACTAAAAGGAGGATAATGACACATAGGAAATAGCGAATAATAATTTGATTTTGACAGTCTTATTAATCTGGTTTAAGGTTGGTTGAATGTATTCTTATAGTTTATATTATTTATCACTTTTAGAAGTTTTCCAGAAATGCTAAAACAGGCAGCAATTCCTGACTCAAACCAGCAGATGGCGCTCGAGAATCAAACGTGCTATCAAAACACAAAGAATGGTGGATAATATGGAACCCCGAATGATTCATAATTAAATAAATAAAAACCTTTATGAAATAAATACCATTTTGATAAATAACACACAAATATATAATATGGCCATGAAATAATAAGCAAGGTAATGTTATTATGAAATACATATAGCTATTCTTTAGTATTTACTTCTTATTTTTTTTTATCATAATTGAATATTTCATAATAATTATTTTCATAATATCATACTTTAAAAAAAAAATGATATTTCATTTTTCAAGATTTTATCACATAAAAAAGTTTTTCCCAAAGTCATTTTTTATTTCATAATGCCATTTTCCACAATGGCCTTTTGTATTTCATAATGTCATTTTTCAGCAGAATGACTTCGTCTGTCAATCAAAGCTAAGGGGTTGGACCTCCGCTGGGTCCTTTAAGATCGATTAGTTCGAGCAGTTTGTAACGCTGATGCTGCACTGTTAGGTGAACGACCAGGCACCACCTGGTCAGAAACCAGTGGTGTCAAAAGTAAACACATTTGTTACTTAAGTAGAAGTATAGATACTGCAGTTTAAAAACACTGGTAAAAGTTGAAGTATCAACTTGACCTCTTTACTCAAGTAAAAGTGAAAAAGTGTGTGCTCCAGAAACTACTTGAAGTATAAAAGTATAAGTAACCTTAAAGAAAAACAGCCAGACAAATATGAATTGAAAGCTCAATTTTAGAATGAGGGAGGTCTTGTTGGTCTCTGTCTCCCAATACGCTCTCGCCTGTGTCCGACCTTTCAGACATTTCAACATCTTTTTCTGAATTCAACATTGTAGCATGTCATAGACAATTCACGTTAGCAGTTTGAAGAACACCTGCTTGCTTCTGATGATTTCCTTTAGCTAACCAATGAGTGTTTGCGTTCTATGACTCATCCAATCACACTAGTTTTCACTAGATGTGGGTGGAGCCAATGATCTGCATTGGATGGCGCACATGACGGGAAATAAATATTTAGAAACATTAAACCAGTGGTAACCAATTAAAAATCAGCGGGATCAAAATAAAGAAAATCATCATAACATCGGACCGAAGTCCGCTAATCTGTGACCTCTGCATTATACCGAAGCCAAGAGTAACGAGTAACGTGGGTTTAAAAAATGTAAGGAATAGAAAGTACAGATAATTGTTTGAAAATGTAATGAGTAGAAGTCAGAAGTGGGAAGAAAAATAAGTAATGGAGTAAAGTATAGATACCTAAAAAGTGTACTTAAGTACAGTAACGAAGTATTTGTACTTCGTTGTACTTGTACTAAACCTCTGTCAGAAACACGGTGCTGCAGCGCTCCTCTCTCAGGCTGAGGTGCAGGATTCGTGTTACTATCCAATCTATTCGCAACTTCTCTGAGCAATTCTGCAACTGACTTCTCTCCAGCTGCCATCTCATTGCTAACGAGCCGCCCACTCCTGGCCTCCAGTTGGTGATGAGTCTCCGCGCTTGAATCGATACTGCAAGTGCTGCTGCTCATGTCTTAGCAAAGGAGCAGCCAATCACCTAACTGGCTCCGCCTTGCCGGCTTTGATTGACGGACGAGGTCATTCTGCTGAAAAACAACATTATGAAATAAAAAAGGCCATTGTGGAGAATGTCATTATGGAATAAAGACAAACTTTGGAAAAAAGTTTTTTATTTTCCAAAATCTTGGAAAATGAAATAAAAAGTAATTCTTTAAAAAAGCATATTGTATAAATATTGATATTTTGATATTGTGAAAATAATTATCATGAAATATTCAATTATGATAAATATAATAATAAGTAGATATTAAAGAATAAAAATATATATTTAATAATGACATTACCTTGTTTTTATTTCATAACCATATTATATATTTGTTTGTTATTTATCAAAATTGTATTTATTTCATAATTTTTTATTTATTTATTTAATTATGAATCTATTGGGCTTCCACAGGATAATAGCAATAAGACTCATTGCTGCTTTTGTTAAGTGAGAACCTCTAATGGTGCTATTTTCATTTGAGTAAAAAAAAATATATATTATAATATATATGAGGGAACTGGACAAGGTAAATGTGGTGGAAGCTGTATTTATAAACTCTAAAAAGGCATTTGATGAAGTCAACCAGATATACATGCAGTCTCAAACAAAATTCTGCAAAGTTCTTTGCTGTTTAGTCTCTTTATAAATGGTGTCCCCGTGCACCGCTCAGGTAACAGTTGTTGCTCTATGCAGATGATGCAGTTCATTACGGCTGCAGCAGCGTCAGACATCAGTCTCTGTACTTTTCAGTTAAAAAAGTTTATTCAAAAGAAAGTTTTCAAGTTTAAAACTAATCAGACGCTACATACCAGGAAACCTTGCTCTACATGCATGTTTTGATTTTTTTGTTAATTGTTTATCATACTACATGACAGCCAAAAACCAAGGAATAAAGATCTTTTTCTTTTATAAAGAGCTTTAATAATTGAATATAAATAAAGGATATCATTGTATCATAGTGGGTTTACTGGTTTGCGTTATGTTGTCTATATTTTGTATTTCCCGTCTCTTGAATCTGTCCTTTGTGGTTGGCATTTATACACAAATTATTGTAACAAAAGTAAATTTGGAAATGTCAACCAAGCAAATATGGCTGAATTGAACTTTCTGATCCTTTGCCTTTTTGGAACTGGATGACTTGGTAAAATTTGACTGAATTTGAAGGTAAATAAACAGCTTGTGACGTGAATGTTTATCAGACCTTAATTCATTTTAAATTAACTTAATTGATCTCACACTGGAGAGATTTACCTCTGCATTTAACCCATCGCCGTAGGGAAGCAGTGGGCTGCCATTGCGTGGCGCCTGGGGAGAAGGTTGGGGTTAAGGGCTTTGCTAAGGAACCCAGGGTGGAGGCTGTGGGGATCGAACTGGGTACTTAAAAAACTTCTCACTAATCTAACCACTAGGCCAACCTACTGCATTAATGATGCATTAGACATCATGATGAATGCTTGGTGATGTTTCATCGTCCTCTAAAAAGCCCCATTCTCTAATCAACCATTTCCTTAAAAAGTTTACCCTAAAACATTTCTACCTCCCACTGGGTTCACAACACAAGGTAATGCTTTACTGCAACTGAGATTTTCCAGGATTTTAAGATAAATCTTATAAAGTTTTTACTGCAAAGTCATTCTGAACATGGTTATACCAAGGAATAATGTTTCTTTCTTTTCAGCTTAATCTAAATGTCTGTAAGGAATGACACTTTTCTCTGGTTTCTGTTTCACATAGATTTACTTTGTCTTTATTTGGCATGAAAATATTCCAAATATTTGGTTGTAATTCGATCCTTTTGTTAATAAAGACAAAAGTTGACTGTTTTCCTTTCAGAATAAGCAGCTGTAGGTTTTGCTGGGCGCCATGTTGATGCTGTCAGGATGTTGGCAGGTCGCCTGTTTGGAGCAGAGGCAGCAGCTCCTCCTCCTGTCCTCCTCCTGACCCCGACTCGGATAACAAGCTGCACAAAAAGAGGGATTCCTCCTCCTCTTCGGTGCCAAACTCTGGACCTCAAAACATGTGAAGTTAGAACTGTGCTGCCAAAACAAAGTCCCACCTTTAGTCAGGATGGTTTGAGTTTTTACTTGAAAAATTCTACCTCTGTTCAATTTTGTTTTTTTATATCTGACGCCTGAAAGGTTTAACATGGTGGTAGAAAGAAAAACCCAAAACAAAACAATTTATCAGGAATTTTATATATGCGGCAGCCATATTAGAGTTTAAAATCTGTGTTTCTTGTCACCAGCCAGATATTTTCTGGCATTTTGAAATAAGTAGGTTTTCCAAATGATGAAAAACTTAAGAAGCCATAAAAAGAAATAATAGCAAACCTCTCTGCTTAAACAGTTAAAAAGCATTTTAAATGAGTTTAACTTTTTAGGATAACAAGTGACCCAGACCAACTTACATTAAACTTCATTCCCCTGATGGATGAGCTAATTATAAAACTGATAAGTCAAATTTTTGAAGAGTTCAAATTTAACCTCAGATGTTAAACTAACATTAAAATTAACAGGAAAAACCATCAATTTCAATATCAAACATATTTTGGAGCTATTTTAATGCTTCAGGAACTGGAAAACTTTTTAATCAATGGAGCGATCAAATTCTGCTCGATGAGAAAATCCTGAATAAGAAAATCTAAATATTAGTTGGTGATTTTAAGCTTGACCAAAACAGGGCAACGATCCAAAGCACAACAGTTAAACAACTTATGAAAAAGTTTAAAAAAAAGAAAGAAAGAAAAAGCCAAGACTAAATGAAAGTAGTGATTTTTTCTAGTCAAAGTTTGGATTAAAATCCAGTTAGAATGCTGCAGCATGACCTTAAGCAGCTGTTAAGGATATTAATCTGTGAAATACCTAAATTAACTGCAAAAAATAAAATTAATTGCCAAAAAGAGTGGATAAATATTCCTCCTCATAGCAAAATATGGTCTAGCCAGTTAATATATTAGGGTCAGTTACTCTTAAATTGCATTTAGTTTCAATTTAGGTAAGGAAAGTGGTAATTAGAAAAATATTATTTAAAATTGGTCATTGTGAAAAACTTGCGTAGTTTGTACTTTTATTTTGAAGGCCCCAACCGGAACAGGTATTCCTCGCAATAGTTAATTAACTTACCGCTTAGTGTCCCGCATGTTGTCCTCAGTTTGGAGCAGAGGGGAAAACCGCAACTTCACGCCGAGAAATGTAAGTCTTTTAAAAGATTTAAATCGACTTTAGTCTAACGGACATAAAACGTTTTACCTTTCTAAGTGCTTTTAATCAGACTTTATGCTTAGATACACCTGGTAAAAGTGTTGCGTTTAAAGTTTCCAGGAGTTTTTAGCCTCACGGAGCACTGAAACAATTTCTATTGTTTATTTGTTGTGTTAAATCATTTAACCTACTGCCCGAATAGAAAACTAAATAAATAATATTTTGGGTTAATATCAAATAAAATAAAACGATTTGTCTACAAAAATCTCACTTTTTAATTTACATAAATGTAAATTAATCACTAAAAAAGCTTAAATTATTTTATTTCATGATAATTTAGGATAGAACTAAATGGAAATTATTAGATTTATTTAGAATGAGGGTTTTGTTAGTTTAGTTTTAAATGTATTTGGTTCTTATCTAACCTGGTCA